CGTCTTAAACGCATTATCCCAGAACCGCATCATCGTACTCCACACCGCCTTTATTGTTTCTGGTTTATAGATCGACGCACCCATCACCTATATTCATCACATTACTTGTTATATATCATTAATTAGTAGGTATTATTATATAATAAATATTACCTAAATATTGTCAAAATAATAAAAATTATGTATAATATAAAAAAAACACCTCAGGTCGCCACACTTCAGCTCGAGGTCTCATGTACTTCAGTGCCGACGTGTACTCCATTCGCGTTAGCCTCGCCTTCTTCTCTAGCTCTCCATCGCATTTCGTTATTATCAGCAGATCACTTTGCTCCATTATACCACGTTTCACACCCTGTAATAATAAATAATAATAATAAAAATAATAAATAACAATAAATAATAATAAATAATAATAATAAATAATAATAAATAACAATAATAAATATACCTGTAACTCATCACCATGTGCTGGCGACAGCAGTAAACAAAACATATCGCTCATCTCACTTACGCTCACTTCGGACTGTCCAACGCCTTAACAAATAATAACAATAAATTATAATAAATAACAATAAAAAATAATAATAAATAACAACAAATAATAATAAATAATAATAAATAACAATAATAAATAATGATAAACAACAATAATAAATAGTAAGATAAGCCCCACCCACAGTCTCTATGATGACCACGTCATACCCCGCCCCCTCGCACAGCACTATCGCCTCGTGAATGCCCCTGGTGACTCCGCCCAACGACCCGCTCGTCGGAGATTGACGAATGAATGCCATTGGATTACGCGCTAACTCCTGCATTCGCGTTAGATCACCCAATACAGAGCCTTTAATTATATATATTAATAATATACATAATATTTATTTGTATACATTAACAATATACATATACAATAATAATAACATACATAACAACAGCACTAAATACAAAACCGCGATTTACATCAAAGCGCGCGTGCGTACGTGGGCGCGTCTTAACACGCCCCGCCCCCTATCACAACACGTTACACGTTTACCGCTGGTACCTTTGCCAATAATAAGTAATAAAAACAATAATAAATAACAATAATAAATAACAAAAATAATAAATAAACCTCCAGTCGTCGCAGATGACGGATCCACAGT